TGCGACCCCGCCTCAGCTCGGGAAACTGAGCTCCGCGGAAGGTGAGGCGACTCCACCTTCTACTCCGCCAGATTCGGCCGCCTTGCTAGCGACCTCCTGCATATCTGGGGAGGATGCGAATGTCGCAAGTCCTTGGTATACTTACGAGGATTATGCTGTCCACTTGGTTCCACCGCTGGACCAACCGCTCCACGTGCAACAGTCCACCGCATGCACGGTTTCATCACCATCGGCAACCGAATCGGCAGCTTCGCCGCAATCTATCGCCGGGGATTCGACGTCATGGTCAAGACTTGAAGAGCTCGACCCATTGACGTTTATGGACTTCCAGTGGATGGCCGTTCCCTCGACCGGACGATTGCCGAAACCGCATTGCAACGCGCTTATGGCACAATTGCGGGACTACTTGCACACTGCAGTACCAGCTCCGTTGATGGACGCCGGAGTAGAGGTTGTCGACCTTCACGCTTTCATCGCGAAGATCGACCGCGAGTTCAAGACGCAACGGTACGACGACATCGACGCACCATTGCTATACATACGCATTCAGATTGGAGAGGCGACCTGCAGTGCCTTGATCGATTGCGGAGCATCTCGCAACTACATCAGCCAAGACTTCATGGTACGCGCCGGCCTTGGCCCACGTTTCCGGAGGAAGTCCCAGCCTACGCAAGTCACTCTGGCAGACGATCATACGCACAAGTCCATCGACTGATGCATTGACGCCGTCCCAGTGTACTTTGCCCCCCACGCAAGTGAGGCGGTGTCCTTCGACATTCTGGACACCAAATTCGACATGATCTTGGGCATGTCATGGCTGCGAAGCAAGGATCACCCGGTGAACTTCTTCAACCGCACCGTTCACGTTCGTGACCGAAACGGAGTATTAGTTCCATGCACGGTTCCTTTTCCTCATCCTTCGATCAACTGCCACGTGGTATCCGCCGCAAGCATGTGAGCTTCCATCATCAGAGACGACATCGAGGAGATGGGGGTGTGTTTTCYCCMCGCCCTCCCGCCACATGACGCTTCATCGACGGACTCACCTTCGGATCCACGCATCACCGAACTTCTCGACGCCTACAGCGACGTGTTCGAAGGCCCGCATGGAGTAGTACCGGATCGACCCATCCGCCACGAGATCATCCTCGAGGACGGGGCCGTACCTCCGCGCGGTTGCATCTACCGAATGAGCGAGGAAGTGTGCTTCGGGCACAACTCGACGACCTTCTAGAGAAAGGCTGGATTCGGCCTAGCTCATCGCCATACGGTGCTCCTGTTCTCTTCGTCCGGAAGAAGAACAAGGATTTGCGGTTGTGCATCGATTATCGCAAGCTCAACGCGCAGACGATTAGGAACGCCGGCCCTCTCCCACGCATCAACGACCTTCTTGAGCGATTGGGTGGCGCCCAGTTCTTCTCTAAGTTGGATCTCAAGTCAGGGTACCACCAACTCGAGATTCGCAAGGAGGATCGCTACAAGACCGCGTTCAAGACTCGGTATGGGCATTTCGAATGGCTGGTCATGCCATTTGGCCTTACGAATGCCCCAGCCACTTTCCAAGCGGCTATGACRACGGAGTTCCGACACATGCTGGATCATTTCGTACTTATATACCTCGACGACATTCTGGTTTACAGYCGGAGTCTGGACGAGCATGTGGAACACTTGCGCACCGTTTTGGAGCGGCTACGACAGGCCAAGTACAAAGCAAACCGCGATAAGTGCGAGTTCGCACAGCAGGAGMTGGAGTACTTGGGACACTATGTGACGCCGCAAGGCATCCGTCCGCTTGCGGACAAGATCGAGGCCCTACGAGTATGGCCCGAGCCCACCAACACCACGGACGTTCGTTCATTCATAGGGTTGGCGGGCTACTATCAGCGATTCATCACCGGATACTCCAGGATTGTTGCACCTATGACGAGGTTACAGTCGCCAAAGGTGTCATTCGTATTCGATGACGACGCACGCTGGTCATTCCAAGCACTTAAGACGGCTATGCTCATGGCACCCGTCCTTAGCATTTATGACCCCACCCTG